TACAGTGTAAGCTGCATTCACAGCATTACCAAGTCTCCTACAAGAAAGCTAGGGCATTGATTGGGGAGGAATGGGACTCCAGCATTCGGAGTGGGGCTATCTGGCTGGACTCAGATGCAGCTGAGAATCTTGAACTCCCAGGTCATCTGAGCCTCTGTTTCCAGTGGAAGCAGCTGTTCTTGGTGTCTGAGAAGACTCACCTTCCTCTGTTTGAAAACCTTGCACTCACCTCACCTGGGCCAGGTGCCTAGAAAGAGGTTGCTTTTTCTGTTCAGCCACCCCAACCACCCCTTACTGCCTGTAGATCCATAACTAGGGTCAGGTTGTAGCATTCCCCAGGGGGCAACCACAAAGTCTGACCCAGGAGGAAACAGCTTATTCACCAACAGAATAGCAAGGTTTTGTTCATTCTCAGACAGAAACCTGGGGATTGCATATGGGAATGGAGTGTAAGAGCATTAGACCAAAGAAGATGGAATGTAACACTGGATTGGGTTGGATTTATTGATGTGGGTACGTGTTAGTTCATGCTGCTGGAAGTGACTGTAACAGTTTACTTGGTTGAATGGAATCTGGACTGCGTGGTGGCCTGCGGTTAATGAGGTTGAAATGCTAAAAACAAACAATTGCGCATCCCCATGTGTTTCAGAATAGAGCTGCACCCCATTGGGTTTTCATGGCTGTGATCTTTTGGAAGCAGATCTCCAGGCCTATCTTACGAGGCACCTCTGGGTGGGTTTGAACAACCAACCTTTCTGTTAGTAGCCCGGTTTTTAACTGTTTGCTCCACCCAGGGATTCTTGGTAGAAATGCTAGTCCTGGTATAATCTAGAGGAAGAAATCCAAAGGTTTAGGCAGATAAGTTTGAGTGGATTTATCATATTCCGCCAGTACACCCCCGTTACATCCCTTAAGACAGAACATATGATTTATTTTCTCCTTAGCCCTATTACTGTGACAAACTATAGGAATAAATTTTCCGATTTTGAACTATCCTTGCATTCCTGTATAAATCAATCACGATGTGTTATTCTTTTAGTGTACTGTTGGATTTCTGTGTGTTGGTATTTTGTTTAAGATTTTGGAACTGATAATCATAAATGACACTGGCTTATGGTTTTCTTTCAGTTGAGATGCCTTGAAATGTTTGCTTAAAAAAGAATCTGGAACTCTTTCTTCTTTTTCTTGACTATGAAGGAGTTTAAAGTAATTTAGAATTGACTGTTGTTAAAGACTTGTAGATTCTCCCTTGATGCCATCTGGAACTGGGCCTGCTTTGAGGGTAGTTCCTTGAGAACCTTCTCTACTCCTTCTGTGGTAGTTAAGGAAAGTAATCTCCATGATTCTTATAATTTTCTCAGTATCTGTTATTTTGTTCTTGTCATTTAAAAATTGCTGTGTCTTTGTGATTTTTCTATTTTGCTCAGTTAAATTAGCTATTGGTTCATTTATTTTATTTTTTGTTGTTACTGAGAATATACATAGCAGAGCAGACACAATTCAACAGTTTCTACATGTAAAATTCAGTGATATGGATTACATTCAAGTTGTGCAACCATTCTCATCCTCCCTTTTCTGAGTTATTCCTCCCCCACTAACATAAACTCACTGCCCCCTAAGGTTCCTATCTAATCCTTCAAGTTGCTGTTGTAAGTTTGATCCCATATAGATAGATCTTAAAAGAGCACAATGCTCAAGGCAGACATTGTTTCCTAGTTAAGTTAAACTATTGTTTGTTCTGATAATACAAGGGATATTTTTGGTCATCTATTTTATTTTTAAAGAGTCATATTTTGGATTTATTTATTAGTTGTGCAATTTTTCTGTTCCTAATTCATTGATTTCTGCTTTTATTCCTGTCTTCTGCTTTCCTTTTGCTTATTTTATTTTTTCTTCTCATTTCTCATTGTCAATATATAGGTAACAAAACATTTGCCATTTCAACAGTCTTCACAAGTACATTTCACTGACATTAAATATGCTCATCATGTTGTTCAACCATCACCATTAACTGTTCCCGAATCTTCCCAGTACCCTTAACAGAAGCTCAGCGTCCCCTATACATTGTGTTTTCCTTTCCTCCTATTTTTCTAACTTCTTAAATTGAACATGCACTCTGTTCATATTCATTTTTATTGCTTAGTAATATATATGTTTAAAGCTCTAAATTTCCCATGAGGCACTGCTCTAGCTGTGTCTCCTGGGTGCTGCCATGTGCTGTTTTCATTCTTTTTGTTTTCTCCATATTCTGCAATTCCAGATTTGATTTCCTCTCAGACCCAATCGTTGTTTTGCACACAGTTTTTCTAACTTCCAAGTACTAAGGAATTGTAAAATATTAATTTGTAGCTTTACTGTCTTGAGGTCAGATGATGTTTTCTGTACAAGTTTTGTTTCTGATAAGTCACGGTGTCTTCTTGGTAATCCAGTCTCTGGTAATTTTTGTGAGAAGCAGGCACAGCCTCTCTTCTCACACACGAAGCTTGATTTTCATCCATTAGATCCACCGTTATCACACCAGACCCCTTTGAGAGCCTGCTTGTTTTTATCTACTTGCTCTGCCACGGAGGGAGGATGGGTTAGCGTAGGCCACCTCTCACGGGTATCTGGAGGACGGAGTGTGGGTGTGGGAAGTTCCCCTCCTGGCGCAGGTTGAGGTGGAGGGGGAGGACGCTGGGACAGAGCAGGACAAAGTCCCCGGAGCTGAGGAGGACACGTCCTCTCTGTAGGAGAAAAAGCCCTGCTGGGTGTTTTCTGTTGAGGAGCACACTCATCTGAGAGAGGACTGTGTGTATTGGAAATCTTGGAAAAGTAGGGCCGGTGTGAAGATTCCAAATGGGAAGGTGGGGAGGAGGAAGCAAGATGAAGCCCCTGTTGGAGCCCCTTCCCCATTTTCTGGGTTCCCCACCTCTGCTGATCCTCACAGAGGAGTCACCAGCCACCAGCCCAGCCCTTGGGTGGCCAGAACCCAGCAGGTCCCAGGTGGTGCCAGGTGGGATGAAGACAGCAAGGATGGCTGAAGGCTTCCCGACTAGGGTGGGAGATGGAGAGAGGGCGGGGCCTGAGGAGTGAGGGGTTGCCAGTGCTCTCCAGCCACCTCATCTACTGCCTGGGGACAGGCAGGGATGGGGGCCACTGGGTCATCACACTGTGAAGGGCATGGGATGAGAAGACCATGACCCGCCTCCCTGTCTCATGTTCTGAGGAGTTGGGTGGGAGGTGGGGTGGGTGGGTGTCTTAGTCTCCTGGGGCTGCCGTGACAAAATACCACAAAGTAGGTGGCTTTAAAGAACAGAAATTTATTTTATCAGAGTTCTGGAGGCTAGGAGTCTGAATTCAGGGCGTCGGCCGTGTTGATTCCTTCTGGGGACTTTGAGACAGAAACTGTTCCATAGGTCTCTCCTGGTTTCTGGTGGCTGCCGGCAATGTTTGGCGTTCCTTTGCTGATTATAGATGCATCTTCCTCTGTCGTCACATGGCATCTGCCTTCCCCATTGTCTGTGACTCTGTTTCTGTGTCTGTCCTTCTCTTTCATAAGATGCCACTCAGAAGGGTTTAGGATTAGGACTCACCCTATAGAGTCACTATGAGTCGGGATCGACTTAACCGCAGTGGGTTTGGTTTTGGAGCCCTGGTTTGGTTAAGAGCTCAGGCTGCTAACCAAAAGGTTGGCAGTCTGAATCCACCAGCTGCTCCTTGGAAACCCTATGGGGCTGTTCTACTCTGTCCTAAAGGGTCGCTATGAGTCGGAATTGACTCGACAGCAACAGGTTTGGGTTTTTTTGGTCTACCGTGATATGACCTCATTTCACTTAACATCTTCAAAGATCCTCTTTCCACACAAAATCACATTCATAGGGGTTAGGACTCCAATATATATTTTTGGGGGACACGATTCAACCCACAACAGGAGGTCAGGAGAAGCTGAGCTCAGCAAGGGTTCCATACCGCAGAACAATGGGGCAGAGGGAGAGGGAACAGCGACAGAAGGAGATAGACGAAAATGGCGATGAGGAGGCCAGGGCTGCTCCTCTTCCCAAGAGGGCCTAGCTTTGGGGGTGAGGCTGCCCAGTGCAGCAAGGAACATGGAATAGGGAGTGGAAGAAGGTGGTTCTAATCACCAGTGACAGCCACGTGACCACTTGTAGAAATGAGGACTGTGATTGTTATGAGTATTTTTTCCATATTTTGTGTGTTGGGTATGTGTGTGTGTATGGCAAATATCTGTGTTTTTCCCTCTCATCTCATTACTTATCACGAAACGTAGGATGTATTTACTTTGCATCTTCTGGAAAAGCGGTGAGTGCACTTTCGGTTGTACGAAGGACAGTTGTATCACGTTAGGTGGAAGTGTGACTTTGTTACTGTCTTTGGAGATCAAGTATGGTTTAAGGAGATGTGTACGGGTGCCAAGTGGACAAGTGGTGGAATGTGATGGTGAATTTTATGTGTCAGCTTGGCTAGGCTATGATTCTCAGTTGTCTGGGCAAACACTAGCTGCTGTTATGGTGTAGTTACATGTGATTAAATCAGCTGGCCTTAAGTAAAGCAGATCACCCTCCATAATGTGGGTGGGCCTCATCCAATCAGTTGAAGGCCTGAGGAGCAAAACAGGAGTTTTCCTAGGGAGTACTTTGCATCCAGACTACAAATAGACATCTTGCCAGAACATCTTTGGTTTTTGGGATACAAGACTGCAGGAATCTCCAGTCTGTTATCTGACCTAAAGATTTTGGACTTCCCAGCCCCCACAATCACGTGAACCAATTCCTTAAAATAAATTTCTCTCCGTCTATATATCTTACTGGTTGTGTTTCTCCTGAGAACCCTAAGACATTTCTGTCTGAGCCCCTCAAGACATCCTGCCATGCCCTTTACTTCCAGGGCAAAAAGGAGGGAGCCTGCTTGTCTAGCACACGCTGCTCCGTATGGTTTGGGGTGGCTGGGTATGATCAGGAACTGGATATCTGATGAAAATGTCAGGGTGGTCTGTGAAGGAGTCAGTGGAGCCGGCAGCCTGAGGACGCCTCCCTGCGGATCCTTGCCTTCAGCCTCTTCAGGCCACTGTGCTCGGGATCCACGAGCAGGCCGCTCTCAGCTGCTGTCCAGGCCTCTGCATGGCGCTGGGCCTCCAGGCAGCGCTGCCCATGGTGCTGCAACACTTGGGCGGTGGGGGCCCGGCCTGGCCGCTCCCTCAGGCTGCTCAGAGCCAGAGTGGGCGCCAGCTCGAGGGCCCGGGTGAAGGCCCCTGCAGCCCCAGCCTCGTCCCCCAGGCTCAGCAGCAGACGGCCCTGGGAGCAGAAGTCCTCCGCCTGTGTCGAGGGGTCGCTGTCCCCTGCTCCCTTCTGGAGCACACAGTCCAGGTCCCTGAGTGCACGGCCAAACTCCTGCAGCTCAGCCAGGCAGGCGGCCCGTGTGCGCAGGTGCTGGTCACTGTCTCCGCTTGCCAGGACAGCCAGTGAGCAGAAGCCCAGCGCCTGCTCCGGGAACCCTGCATCAAGGAGGGTGCCGGCTTTCTGGGCGGCGGCCTGCACAGTAAGCAATGGGAGGGTCAGCCTGAGTGCCGCTGGGCCCTCACCTGCTCGAGCTCCTCTGTGCTCCCAGTCTCTGCTCATCCCTGGAGTGGCCTCTTGTGCAAAGGGGCTGCCAGCTTCCTCCAGAGGGGGTGGTGGTGGGAGTGGGGTGCAGAGGCCCTCCTTCCTGCAACCCCACCCACCCTGGAAACTCTACAGCCTATAAGGCACATCTCCATGGCCTCCTCCTTGACTGTCCCTCTCCCTCGACCTCCGATCTGTCCCCTCAACTCTACCTCCTCCTCACTAATCCTTCCTCTCTTGCCCCCACTCCCCAACCTGGCTTCTTGTGCCCAGTCGGTGAACGCTGTCCATCATCACCTTCTCTCTCTGGGAACTGCAGGACGAGGTCCTGGCCTCCCCTACCAGCATCCCCTCTGCCTCTTCCTTTTCTGAGCTGGGGCCAAAGCTCACACTCACAATGTGCCAAAACCCCTTACCTCCTCTTTTCTGACTCTGGCTCTTCACAGAGTCATCTATGAGTGCAGTCACCCCAACCACCCTGTGGGTCAATCAGCTTGCCTCATGGGGTTCCTCCTCTCCTCAAGAACCTACAATGGCTCCCACTGCCTGAAGAACAAGGCACAGTCAAGACATTGCCTTTCTTGCTTCTCCTCTCCCACTCTTTTCTATTGTAGCCAGGATCTACTCAATGCTCCCAGCCTCACACCATACAACACCTCCCTGCAACATCCCAAATCCTCCCCCGCTCCACAGGGTGGGAGTAGGGGAAGGCACCGGAGCCACCCGGCCTGGGCCTGGATTCCAGCTCCCCCCTCCCTTGCTGTGTGACCCTGACCTATTGACTAAACTTCTCTGTGCCTGAGCTGCCTCGCCTGTGAAATGGGGCTTGTGACTGTTGACCTCAGGGTCGTTGTGGAGCTAGAAGGGGCTGTGCATGTGGACACAGACAATGTGTAGAACCCGGACACCCATGGGCAGAACATGAACGGACTCAACCTTGTGCTCGTTTTTTATGCCCCTCGGCTGAATGGCTGGTCTCACCTCCCCAACATTTGTTGAGGCGGCCTCTCCCCTGGGCCGAGACAGGCCTGGGCTTTTTCTCCATGGCCCGGCCACCGTCCACGGTTGATCTGGAATGCTGATTCCTTTAAGGTGTCATTCAGTTGGGGACCCCCCTCAAAAAAACCCCGTATCTTTAGGAACAGCTCTGTTAATGCCACCTCTGATTTCCTAGGACTCTGGCCCCTTCTAGGTTCACGGATTGTGGCTAGGCCATCTCCCGCGCGGGTCCCTTGAGACCAGGCAGGCCATGCATCCCCCAGGGCTCTCCCGCTTCCGGGAGGAGCCGCCCGTGCAGCCACAGTGGGGTGGATTCGGTGCAGGAGCGGGTTGTGACCCCTTCTGGTTCACTTCTGAGTCTGCCCGCATCGCCTGGCAATGGCCTGACAACCAGCCTCCAGGCAGCCCCTGACTTGAGCAGTGCCCCTCCTCCTAGCTCAGAGAACCCATCCCAGACCCCTTGTGTCTGAGCTTAGAGACCTCTATGCCAGTCAAGCCTTTCTCCAAAGCTCAGAGACGCCCATCCCAGGCCTGTCCTCCAAGCTTAGAGCGCCCATCCCAGCCCTCTTCTCTGAGTTCAGAGACTCCAGCCCAGCCCCTTCTTCCAAGCTCAGAGACCCCCGCCCACTCAGGTCCCTCCGGACTCAGAGACCCCCGTCTACCTCCTCCTCTGGGCTCAGCCCAGTTCTGCCTGGCCCTCCTCTGAGCTCTAGGTCCTGATAACACTGTCTTGTACCTTTGTTCCCTCGCTCTGGGTGGCAGCTATTCCCTCTGCATTACTGACTTGCTATCCTTTTGCTCTTTCAGCCCCTAACCCTTCTCAGTCAACTCCTCTGTTAAACCAAAAACCAAAAAACCACACCTGTTGCCACTGAGTGGTAGAACTGCCCCATAGGGTTTCCAAGGAGTGGCTGGTGGATTTGAACTGCTGACCTTTTGGTTAGCAGCCAAGCAGTTAACCACTGTGCCACCAGGGCTCCCTCTATTAAACTACCTCTGTTTTCCTGACTGCAGCCTGACTGATACAACCCATCAGAGAGATGAAGAAACATGGGGGTTTCATTCTGTGTCCCTCCAACTCCAAAGCCTGCCTATGCTCTTGGCCTCCTCCCCTCCACCCACCTCCTCCACCTCCACCCTTCACTTCCGTTTCCCCTCTTGAGGTTAAATTCAGCCAGTGCAGGGTAAGCCATCCTGCAGTTTCTCTTGGCCCAGTCCCTCCACTGCCTCTCCTACAGGTGGTGAGGCGCCTGGCTGGGCTCCTGCTCTAGCCAATGGGGGGTTATTTGGTGCCAGGAATCAAGTGGTCAGACTAGCAGCCAGGACACCCTCCTTTCTGCCCCTCCCCTTCTCACACTTACTTTTCTGTCAAATTGACTTCCATTAGGGCTTGACCAGAACCTCACCCTCTCCCACCTCAACCCTGCCTCACTCCAGTCCAGCTGCATGGCTTGGTTCTGTTTCTTGAAGACACCAAGCTCTTTCCTACCTCAAGGCCTCTGACCTTGCCATTCCACTGGCCTGGTCTTTGGCATCACCTCACTACCCCCTGCCCTGTTTTAGGGGCTTCCCCTCACCGATCACTCTCTGAAATGACATTCCTCACTCACCGTCTGTCTCCCCCACTGAGATGTGAGCGCCATGAGGGCCCGGGGCCCGTTGCTCATGGCTCCACCCCCAGCATGGGCACAGTGCCCACACCTGGCAGCAGGTGCTCAATCAGTTCATTTTGAATAACGATTGGATGAAAAGTTAGCTAGTCAAAGAGGCAGCGATTCCAACCCAGTGTCCCTTCAAGGCCAGGCTCTCAGCTCATCACTTGCAGAACCACTGCCTCCCACCAGCACCTCCTTCCCCTGACCACTCATCCCTGGGAGAGGATGCTGCCTCTCCTGACCTGCCTTGGAGGTTGGGGTGGGCTTCCTGTGAGGCGAGCTGCACCTGGGAGGCTCAGCCCCGGTCCCTCCCTCTCCTCCATCTCAAGTCACTTGTGGTTTATATGCCCCATGCAAAGAAGGCAATAGGTCACTGGGGGTTGTTAGGGCTTAAGATGGAGACCTGGGTGCCTCTTAGTCATACCTCCATGCCACCCGACCCCACCCCAAAATCAAAGTTCTTTTTCTGGCAAGTGGCATCTGGCTGAAATGAACAGTAGGGAATGGTGTAAGACCTAAAATTAAGGCCCAATGTTATGTGTCCCTTGACTTCTGGTAAAATCAGGAGGGCCTCATATGTTCTAACCACAAGTTCCCCTCCCCCTCTGCTCTGTGGATGAAGTCTTCTAGCCAAACCATCCTCCTTATCATGGGACTGGTACAGTTCCTGCTTACACCTGAGTAGTGGGCTTTGGTTCCCTGCTAGCCTGTTGAATTATTGAAACAAGCCAATCACATTCTCCTGTGGGAACCAGGGGGCACCACACCCTCTTGTTACTACAAAGCCTGCCTCCACAATCCCTGGTTGTGCACCTCCATGAGGCCCTGCATGGTGTGCGGTGTCCTCCCCCAGGCAGTGTTTACTGACTAATAAACTGCTGTTGATCTCATCTCTCCAGGACCAGTCATGTGTTTGGCCATCCCCAGAACCCTAGAGCCCGACTTGCTCCCTCACCAACAGGGTGAAGAGGAAGCAATGAGAACACGCCTGGGATGCTGGGAGGGTGGGGGTGGGTCTCCACGGGATGCTGCTGCGCACCTGGGCAAGGCTCTGCCGTTCTGAGGCCTCCAGAAGATGCAGCAGGAAGCTGAGATCCCCAGGGTCCTTCTCTACCAGGCCCTGCAGGTCCTGCATCGCGGCTGGCGCGTCTCCCTTCTTGATGTGGAGCAGGCCGAGCCGGGCCTGGGCTTCCTCTGACAGTGGAGCAGAGCCCAGGGTTTTTTGCAGATGGGCACCAGCCTCCTCGTAGCTGCCTGTCAGGGGTTCAGAAGGACAGTCAACAGGCTTCGTCTGGGCAGGGGATCTAAGAGAGGTGGGACCTACTGGCTGGCCACTGGGAAGTCTGCCATAGCCCTTCTTGCTCTGCAGTGGCTTGGGGGACCAGGCGGCCTGACAGAGGTTCCCTGTCGGGCCCAGCCCCAGGAGGCAGGAGCTGGACAGAGTCACATACTAAATGACCCATGTTGGTCACGTGGCCTTGACCCAGTACCCACCCCCACCTGGAGCCTGTTTTGCTAAACTCCCTGATCCCTGGGCCATGTAGCACTGCTCTGGGACCCTTACTGTGCTCAGCATGAAGGGGGGTGCCTGGAGGAAAGCTGGGCCTGCTGGAGCAGAGCATCATAGGAGAGGAGGCCACGGCTCTGGGGGACACGCTGGAGTCCCAGCTGAGGGCCTCTCACAGGGCTGGAGGTCATCGGGAGGAGGACAGGTTAGAAAGGGCAGGCTGCAAGAGATTCTCCCCTTCAAAATGATGAAGAGATACAGTCAGTTCTCATTATTTGAGGATTCCATATTGGCAAATTGGCCTACTCGATAAAATTTATTTGTAACTCCAAAATCAATACTCGCAGCACTTTTGAAGTCATTTCTGGACGTTTGCTTGCAAAGAATGGTGAAAAACTTGAGTTGTCCGATGCGCACATTCCCAGCTGATGTTGCGTAAGGCTGACTTGGTGTTTACAAATTCCGTGCTCAGGCCACTTTATAGAACATAATTACTGTCCTTAGAATAGGAGTCCCTGGGAGGTACAAACGGTTAACGTGCTTGGCTGCCAACTGAAAGTCTGGAGGTTCAAGTCCACCCAGAGGCACCTCAGAAGAAAGGCCTGGTGATCTACTTCTGAAAAATCTACTTCTGAAAACTGCAGGGAGCTCAGTTCTACTCTGACACACATGGGGTCGCCATGATTGGAACTGACTCGAAGGTAACTGGCGGTACCGAGAATAACAAGAATTGACTGTATTTTCCACATCATCAGGTGGCATGGATTTTTGCAGGCAGATCTAAGACAACCTCACTTAGAAGAGGGCCTGGCATCCCAGGGACACTCACTCAATATCTGCTAAATAAATGCATGAATCAATGGAGCCCAGGACAGATGCCTGCATTTCTGTCCTGGGCTAACACTTACCCACAGCCATGAGAACATCTGTGAGGAGGATGTGCCAGCCTGGCTGCTGGGCGTCAAGTTTGACCAGTGCCTCCGCCGTGGCAAGGAGGCCCTGGGTGTCCTCATCACTGAGGAGGGCCCCGGTGTCCAGTGGCTGGCTCAGGAGAGCCCGGCAGTGGGTGTAGAGGCCCTGGGTGATGAAGACCTGGGCTTCCGGCTTCAGCGAGCGGATTTCAGGGACCACAGTGCCTGGGTCCAGCTTCAGAGCAGAGATGATGTCGTCCACAGCCTCCTGTAAGGGGAAAGCAGCAAGGTGGGTAAGAGAAGTCTTCCAACCGGGGATACCCTTGGGGAGGGGAGCAGAGTTGGGAGGGTTGGCTCCATCATTTTGACTTTCCCTCTGTGCCCTAGGGTCTCACGTTCTGCTCCTTGGAGTCCTAGAGGGCCAAGCTGCCAGCCACTCTACCCTCCATCCTGCTTCTGGTCTGGGCATTTGAGGGGACCCAGCTCATTGGCCTTACCCCTGGAAGTAACCCAGAAACCCCTTCCTGAGGTTGCACCCTGCATCCTGCTTGTCAGATCTCACCAATTTCAGTCTCCCTATGCTGCTGCAGTCTGCACCCCTGTCTCTGGGCAGCATGTTCCCTCTGCTTATAGCTGGCTCCCCCCTCACTCTGTCCCCCTGCCCCATGCCTGTCCCTCCCAGTGGGGCATCTGGTCCACCTCACAGGTGGTGCTTCAGGAGCCCCACAGCTGTTGTCAAGTGCTCCTCCCTGTGCCTGGGGCGTTGGGGACTGCCGGAGGGGGTAGAAAGCACAGTTCCTGCCCTCCCACCATCTGAGGTGCAGCCAAAGTGAGGGTGCATGGAACATCGGGTGGACAGACAAGGCAGAACACGGGGGAGCCGGCAGCAAATGTATTAGGGTTCTGCAATGGGAGAGATTAGTCTGGAAAGGAAGAAGGATCACAATGATGGAGAACCTACTTAGGTGGAGAAGGTGGACTTGAGCTGGCAGCTGGAGGGCAGTGAGGACCTGGACAGGAGTGATAAGGACTGAGTATGCAGTTTGAGGGAGACAAGGGAGAAGAAGTTTCCAGAGGCCCTGGAAGCACAGGCGATCATGCCAGAGGGTGGATCCCTTTTAGGAGAGCCTTGGTGACTAAGGTAAGCAGATTGCTTCTGACCTGGCCAGCAGTGGGGAACCACTGGAGCTCTCTTCAAGTCTATCCTCCTATTTGTTTTCTGTCGTTTTTTTGGTGCCTTTGTTCCTCCATTCCTATCTTTTGGGCTGATTGAGTATTTTCAGTATTTCATTTTAATTGTTCTATTGGCCTTTAGCTATGTTTCTTTATGTTTTGGCACTTGCTCTACTGAATACAATATGTATCTTTAATTTATCATAGTCTGTGTAGACGTTGGAGTCCCTGGGTGGCGCAACCGGTTAAGTGCTTGACTGAAAATCAAAAGGTTGGTGGTTTGAACCCTCCCAGAGGCTCCTTGGAAGAAAGGCCTGGCCATCTGTTTTTGAAAGGTCACAGCCTTGAAAACCCTATGGACCACAGTTCTACTCTGCAACACATGGAGTTGCCATGAGTTGGAGAAGACTCAAGGCAACTGGTCTGGTTTTTGGAAGTAGCGTTAATATAATACCACATCACATAACATGTAAAAACCATATAACAGTAAATTTTATTTACCCTCTGTTGTTTGTGCTGTTGTTGTTGTGTATTAAGCAATAAACCTTATAGTACAACAATATTATTTTTGCTTTAAATAGTTCTGTTCAAAGAAATTAAGAAGTAAAGATTTTTTTTTCTTTATTTAAAGATGCTTTTTAAAAAAAAAATGTTTACATATTTCTTCCAGCAGAGACTTTTCTTCTGGTGTCATGTCTCTTCAATCTCATGAACTTCGTTTAGCATTTCTTTTAGTGTGGGTCTTTTGGTGAGAATTCTCTCAGCTTTCATTTGTCTGAGAATGTCTTTAATTTCATGCTCATTTTTGAAAGATTTTTTAAACTTGATATAGAATTCTAGGTTGACTTTTTTTTTCTTTTAGCACTTTAAAAATATCATTTTATTGTCTTCTGGCCACCACTGTTTCTGATGACTAGTCAGTTTTCATTCATATTGTTGTTCTACTGTATGCAATGTGTCTCCCCCTCACCCCAGCTGTTTGTAAGATGTTCTCTTTTTATCTTTTGTTTCCAGCAATTTGACCAACATGTGCCTAGGTGTGGTTCTGTTTGGGTTTGTCATTTTTGAGTTTGCTAAGCTTCTTGGGAAATTTTCTGTATATATATCTATATCTATATCTATCTATCTATCTATATATATATCTATATCTCCCCTCTTTTCTCCTCTCCCTCTTGAACTCCAATTACATATATGCTAGTGTAAAATGGTGGGAGTATAATAATAACATCAGAACCTGTCTAATTTCAGGGGGGATAATGCGAATCAAGATCATCCCAAACTTGATTCCTATGAGGTGGAGGTCAGAAATACTTCACTCTCCAAACTTTTAACCAACTCAGACTCCAGCCATCCCTCCCATGGCATTCTCTACTTCTCTTCTGTGTTCGATAATCCATTGCAATGGCCACACAGAACTCACAGACCATACTTACAGTTTTTAGGAACAGGCTACAACTCAGGATCAGGATCAGGAAGCAGGTAGGCAGAGTCTCCCTTCTCCAGTGCAAGACTGTTCTTTCAGCTCCTTTAGACCATGCAGGCCTCCTCCCGGTCCCCTGAGGACAGGCTCCTCTTGGCCCTGCCGTTTGTCACCACCAACTGCCACTGAGCCCCTTCCAGGACTGTCACTGCCTTCAGTGTTACAGCCTTGATCCATGTTACAGCTCTTTTATGAGGTTCCTTGTCTCCGCTCTCTACTTCTTTCGTCTCTCTTCTTTTTCCCTTCTGCTTCTTCCTACTGCTTCTGTTTCTGTTTCTTTCTTCCTAAAAAACCTCTGTGGGGCTGGCTGCTTAAATACAAAAACTTTTTGCCAATTTCAAGGCATGGCATTCCCACCAGGGCCAGGACCTGATAAATCTCCTCATGGTAGGTGACAGACACTTCATTTGTATAGTAGGCTACAACTCACCTCATTTGTATAGTCTATTGACCAGTCCCTCAAAGGTGCAAACCAATCACAGGGCAGGCTGCAGCCCAGGGCCAGGCAAAAAGTATCAAACCATTCTTGTTTATAGCTTACTCAGGAAGGAAATGTCAATCAACCTAGACAAAAGTAACAAACCCTGTGAGGTAGAAAAGTAGGGCAAAGGTAACTCCTCAGGGCTTAGGTGAAAAATCTCTCAAGCTGTTTTACCAAAGAACCAAGCCAAAAGGCCACCTAAAGAACTCATTGTGCCACAGCAAGATTGCTTGGAATTGTCCCAGAGGTCACTGAAAGTCTCTTCATTTTTTTTCAATCTTTTTCCCCCTTCTGTTTTTTTAGACTGTATAATTTCTATTGGTCTATCCTCAAGTTCACTAACTTTTCTTCCACGTTTCCAATCTGCTGTTAAGCCCATCCAGTGAATTTTAATTTCAAATGTACTTTTCAGTTCTAGAATTTCCATTTTTTCTTCTAGGATTCTCAATCTGTTCACTTATTAGGACAAAATTTTCCTTTAGGTCCACGTGTTTATAGTAGTTGCTTTAAAGTCCTTGTCTCCTAATTTCAACATCTGAGTAATCTCAGGATCTGTTTCTGTTAAGTGCTTTATTATTATTATTGTTCACAGTTCTCTGAATATCTAGCCAGTTTTGATTTTATGTTGGAATTTGTGGGTGATATGTTCTAGGATGAGATGAGTTGTGGAATGAAATCAAGGACATCATACTTGAAGAAAGCAAAAGATCATTAAAAAGACAGGAAAGAAAGAAAGGACCAAAATGGATGTCAGAAGAGACTCTGAAACTGGCTGTTGAATGTCGAGTAGCTAAAGCAGATGGAAGAAATGATGAAGTAAAGAGTTGAACAGAAGATTTCAAAGGGCAGCTCGAGAAGACAAAGTAAAGTATTATAATGACATGTGCAAAGACCTGGAGTTAGAAAACCAAAAGGGAAGAACATGCTCAGCATTTCTCAAGTTGAAAGAACTGAAGAAAAAATTCAAGCTTCAAGTTGCAATGTTAAAGGAGTCTATGGGGAATATACCAAACAACACAGTAAGCATCAAAAACAGATGGAAAGAATACGGAGTCAATATACCAAAAAGAATTGGCTGACATTCAACCATTTCAGGAGGTAGCATATGATCAGGAACCGATGGTACTGAAAGAAGAGGTCCAAGTGCACTGAAGGCATTGGTGAAAAACAAGGATCCAGGAACTGATGGAATACCAACTGAGATGTTTCAACAAATGGATGCAGTGCTGGAAGTGCTTACTCGTCTATGCCAAGAAATGTGGAAGACAGTTACCTGGCCAACTGGAACAGATCCATATTTATGCCTATTGCAAAGAAAGGTGATCCAACTGAAGGCAGAAATTATTGAACAATATCATTAATATCACACACAAGTAAAATTTTGCTGAAGATCATTCAAAAGTGATTGCAGCAGTACATAGACAGGGAACTGTCAGAAATTCAAGCCAGATTCAGAAGAGGACATGGAACCAGGGATATCATTATTGAGTCAGATGGATCCTGGTTGAAAGCAGAGAATACCAGAAAGATATTTACCTGTGTTTTATTGACTATGCAAAAGCATTTGACTGGATCGTAACAAATTATGAATAACATTGCGAATAATGGGAATTCCAAAACACTTCATTGTGCTCATGAGGAACTTGTACATAGATCAAGAGGCAGGTGTTCAAACAGAACAAGGGGATACTGCGTGGTTTAAAGTCAGGAATGATGTGTATCAGGGTTGTATCCTTTCACCATACTTATTCAATCTGTATGCTGAGCAAATAATCTGAGAAGCTGGATTATATGATGAAGAATGGGGCATCAGGATCTCAGAGGAAGACTCATTAACAACCTGCGATACGCAGATGACACAATCTTGCTTGCTGAAAGTGAAGAGGACTTGAAGCACTTACTGATGAAGATCAAGGACTACAGTCTTCAGTATGGATTATACCGCAACATAAAGAAAACAAAAATCCTCACAACTGCACCAACAAGCGAAATCTTGATAAACGGAGAAAAGACTGAGGTTGTCAAGGATTTCATTTTACTTGGATCCACAATCAACACCCATGGAAGCAGCAGTCAAGAAATTAAACAACGCATTGCACTGCTGCAAAAGACCTCTTTAAAGTGTTAAAAAGCAAAGATGTCACCTTGAAGACTAAGGTGCGCCTGACCCAAACCATGGTGTTTTCAATCGCCTCATATGCATTCAAAAGCTGGGCAATGAATAAAGAAGACCAAAGAAGAATTGACGCCTTTGAATTATGGTGCTGGTGAAGAATATTGAATATACCATGGACTGCCAAAAAAAACAAACAAATCTGTTCTGGAAGAAGTACAGCCTGAATGCACCTTAGAAGCAAGGATGGTGAGACTATGTCTCACATACTTTGTATATGTTACCAAGAAGGGTCAGTCCCTAGATAAGGACATCATGCTTGGTAAAGTAGAGGCTCAGTGAAAAAGAGGAAGACCCTTAACAAGATGGACTGACACAGTGGCTGCAACAATGGGCTCAAGCATAACGATTGTGAGGACGGCACAGGACCGGGCAGTGTTTCGTTCTGCTGTACATACGATCGCTGTGAGTTAGAACCGACTTGACAGGATCTGACAACAACAACATGTAGGAAATCTAGTTCATGCCACTTTCCTTTAAAGGATGTTGAGTTTTGTTCTGGTAGACAGTTAAATTAGTGGTAGAACATTTTGGTACTTCCAGGCTTGGTTTTATTCTTTGTTAAAAACCAAAAAACCAAACCCATTGCCATCGAGTCGATTCTGAGTCATAGCGACCCTAAAGGACAGAGAAAACTACCCCATTGGGTTTCCAACGAGCACCTGGTGGATTCAAACTGCCGACCGTTTGGTTAGCAGCTGTAGCTCTTAACCACTAGGCCACCAGGGTTTCCATTCTTTGTTAGGGCAGGTCTATTTCAGTTTTGAATTAAGGTGTATTCATTTTCTTGGGTTGCAATAACAAATGACCACAACTAGGTGGCTTAAAACAACAGAAACGTATTCTCTTGAGGCTAGAAGTCTGAACTCTAGGGTTTGGCAGGACCTTGCTCTCTCTGAAGTTTTCAGAGAAGAATCCTTCCTTGCCTCTTCCAGCTTCTGGTGGTGGCTGGCAATCTTTGGCATTCCTTGGCTTGTAGCTGCATCACTCCAGTTTCTGCCTCCGTCTTCACATCTTCCTCCTTCTTACTTCTCTGTATGTGTCTGTGTCCAACTTTCTCTCTCCTTATGAGGACACCAGTATTTGGATTTAGGACCCACCCTAATCCAGTAAGATCTCATCTTAACTTGATCACATCTTAAAGACTCTGTTTCCAAGTAAGGCCAAATTTACAGGTACCAGGGGTTAGGACTTCAATATGTTTTTTTTGGCTGGGGGCACAATTCAACCTACTACATAGGTATGGCCTTTGCTTTAGGGAGTGGCCTTTCTGGAGTATCAACTGAGCGCCCAAGATGTTCAAAAAATTCTCTCACTCTGGCTGGGTTGGAACTTGAATGTCTCCCAGCCCTGCGTGACTCCTGGCATCACCACGCAGCTCTCACCCCACAGCGGATGATGCCTGCTAGGCCTGAGTCTTCCCCCAACGTGTGCATGCTAGTTCTCAGGCAAGGGCCCACAGTGAATCCCATGAAGACGGCTAGATGCCCCTCCTCTGCACAGCCCCCTCTTATCCATTGCCCTTCCTTACAAATTCCAGCCACTGCAGCAGCTGGAGTGCCCATCTCTGCCTCCTCCTTGGCTTGGTCACATCTCTTTCACCCCCTTGTGTAGTGACAGGAAAGTCTTGCCAAGTAGCAAGTCATGGGGCCCACCTTGTGTGGTGTCCCATCTCTCTGAGGTCACAGTTCTCCACTGCCTCTTGGCCAATGGCTGCAAACAGTTGTCTCACGTATTTTATCAATTTATATTGTGCTCAGAGGTCCAATATCAGTTACTCTCTCATAACCAGAGCAGAAATTTTGCCCAGATGCATTTAAAGTCCAGCAGATGGCGTTCTTCTGGAGCAGGCCTGTGGAGGTGCAGGTCTTGGCCAGTGGAGGGACAGTGTTCTCTGGTCCACCCTACACCATGGCCTGGGCTCTACTGGCAGGCAGTGCTGGCCAGTGGTAACCCAAATTGGCTGGTTACCTTTGAAGGGAAAAAGCCAAATTCTGCCCTGGGCCATGGGAGTTCCAGCTGCTGCGTATTGAGCCTGCATCACGGCCAGGCACTGGGCTGAGCATTTGAAAGCATGCCACTGTCTCCTATGCCTGGGTGGGACCAGAGACCAGACCTGCCAAAGGCTTTGGGGGAAACACAGACATCCTGAACAGGTTGCCCTGCCCCATGGACATTGAGGGGCCCTGGATGGGACACTCTCCTGTAGAAGTCAGGGAGGCCTGAATGCCACTCTGTCCTGTAGAAGTCAGGGGCCCTGTGGACACTGGGGGGCCCTGATTGGGCTGTCCTGCTCTGCAGATGTCAGGGGGCTGCAGATGTCAGATTCTTCCCTGTGGAAGTCAGGGGGCACCAGACGGACCACACTGCCTCACACTGTCCTGCCTGGTGGACGTCGGGGGGCTCTGAATGGGCACCCTGCCCTGCGGACATCAGGGAAGCCCTGGTCGTGCCATCCTGCTCAGCAGAAGCGGGCACCATCTGAGAGGCTCTCATCTGAATGGCATCTTGGGTTTATTTTTTTGCTTCCCTAGGATTCCAGCCTTTAGAGAATGATGAAAGCTGAGCAGGTAGGTTGCATCTGGGATGTGCTTTTATCCAGTGAAGCATCAAGCAGGTGGACAATTTCAGTTACCTGCCAGGGATGATGCTCTTGGCTGATAAGTGTCCTATCTCCAGAAGCTTCCAGAGAGAAAGTATGGGACCTCTGGGCTGTTCTTCTCCAGGGATGACCCCCTGTCCTGTACCCTGGAGTAGACCTCCCACTCCTGCCCCTGCATTCTGACAGATCCCCAGACCCGCACAGGGTGGGAGTGCAGGGTGGGAACACAGCTCCTCAATACCCTGAGAGGGCAACCTGGAGCTTACAGTGATGCATGCCCTGGACGTCAGTTTGGGCTCCCTTCTGCCCCTCCCTACTCAGCTTGCAGCCTGGTTATTTTTAGTTAGGGTTTGGGAGACCATGCCATGCCCCTGCTCCTTCTATCACCACCTTTCATTCAACTCAGGGTTGAAGGGAGCACAGACGGGTGAAGCGTTTGGGCTGAGGCTGTCTAACTGGTCAGTGGCCAGCATACCTGATCCTTGGTCTGCTGGGTTCCAAGGCCGGCACTCAGGCAGCAGGAGGGGGCAGAGGATATGGTCTGATGTGGGGCCCCAGGGTCACAGTGGGCCACATGTGCACGGTCAGTGTAGATGCCCGTTAAGAAATGCAGAAACAGACAAGTCTTCTCCCTCGCAGGTCTTACCTATCTGCCCAATCCTCTGACCTTATATTCTGAATTGGAGTAGTTTTTGCACAACAAGTTCTTAAATGTACAGACATCTAAACTTAAGCAGCAGGTGAGTTAAGTTCATGGAGTCCTTGGGTGGTGCAAACAGTTAACACACTCAGCTGCTAACTGAAAGGCTGGAGGTTCAAGTCCACCTAGACGTGCCTTGGAAAAAAGGCCTGTCAATCTACTTCTGAAAAATCAGCCACTGAACACCATATGGTACACAGTTCTACTCTGACACATATGGAGTCACTATGAGTCTGAATTGACTCAACAGGAACTGGTTGGTTTTCTTTTTTTATTAGTTAAGTTCAGACCAGTGTTCCAGTAGCTCTGTTGCTGTGCCTATGACAGACATTACTAATCAATCCCAGAACTTCTTCCTGCTGTGCAGGATGCTGTCTGGCCTCTAAACCCTTTTCAACACAGCGGTCCCGGCTGAGATGACACCTCCTGGTCTGCCCTGCCATCAGGGGGCCCTGGCACCCATGGAAGATTTGTTTGTGGTGGAGGAGCCCCTTGTGCACCCTCTGTGGACAGGGACCGGGCAACATACGACCCTCTGATGAACAGGCAGGATTCTTGAAACTGGGCTGCAGTAGCAAGATGAGGCACCCCTGATCCTGCAGTACTGGTGGGATGAGAAGACTGGGGTTTTGATGGGCTTCTCACTGTTCCCGGTTGCCTGGCCCTGCCCTGCCCCCTGGGGTGAGGAGGGAGCTCTCTGATTCTCCCGTGTCTCCCCTTCAGCCCCTCCACTTGCCCAGCCCAGGGTGGTGGGCCCCAATACCTTCTGCTGGCCCAGGGCCAGGTACACCAGCGCCCGCCCGCACAGTGCCTGCACGTTCCCCGGCTCGGCCCGGAGTGCGGCGTTGAAGTCAAACATGGCCGTCTTCTTCTGGCCCAGGAAGCCGTAGCAGCGGGCACGGGCTAGGAGGGAATCGCTGGCCTGACCCCCTGGAGGGAGGGAGGGCGCAGTGTCGGGTGCAGGGCACTGCTGGGCACGAGCCACGCACATGTATGCCCCTCGTCCAACATTTACTGTGCCCTCCCTGTGCCAACCTGGGTGGGGGAAGACTGTGGGATCCACCTTGCGGGCTCAAAGATGACTGGCCACGAGGCACACAAAGGGGGCAGTCAGGGGGGGCCTGGAGGCACTGGCCATAGGGCAAGGAGAGCCCCAGCAGGAGGCAGAGAGGGCTTCCCAGAGAGAAGGGCTGAGAGTGGTGTCTGAGGCCAGGGGGACCTGGGAGGGGGCTGGGTCCTCTGGGCAGGGGTGGAGTAGCACTGAGAGAAGGTGCAAGGCTTGGGGGCGAGGCTAGCAGGGAGAAGCCTCCTGATTTCTGGGCGCAGGAAGCCGCTCCCCAAAAGAGGATGCCCTCCATGGCTCTTCCTGGTAGCCAGGGACAGTCCTGGGGGTTCTGTGTGCTCTTTCCCCTGGTATCCCGTAATCCTGGAAGCACTTCGGTAACTTGGTTTCGCCACATTGGACAAGGGTTGGACCAACTCGACCAACTCTTGGCAGAACGTAAGGTGTGGGTGGGGCACCCCAGAGCATCTGGGGCAGGCAACGGGGTCACCTGCTCCCCTGTCACCCCCTGGGCCAGCTCTGGGCCCTCAGTGGGGCTCTCATCCCAGGAAGGAGCTGAGTCCAGAGATGGTGAATGACCTGTCCACCCATGGACACACAGCTCGTCAGGGGACAGCCCTCAGGAGCTGAGGTCCCCCCTGGTGGTGCTAACATGGTGACAGATTCATATGTCTCTCTCCCCTTGTCTCCCTCGGCCCCACTGGACAGAGAGGTCATGAGGCCCAGCAGGCAAGATCAAGGTCGATGGGTGGACACAAGGAAGGCACTTGGTTCTGCATGCAGGCAGCAGGGGCCATGTCACCATTACTGCAATGTCGTCATCACCCTCCCCTCTCTCAGGCCTGGGCCCAGGATGCCCTCAGTGGGTGGCTCCGCCCCATCCAACCCAGAAAGGATGCTCATCATGCAGGGGGCACACACGGCAAACCGGGCGTGTCCTGGGCCCTGGTCCCCCCGACTCCCAGCAAGGCAGAGTGCCCACACCCTGCCCCCCACCCTGTACCTGGCATCTGGGCCCGTTCAGGAGCCTGTGTTGCAGGACAGCCCGCCAGGTGATGGGCAGGGGAGACCATGTGCCCCCTACTGCGTGCCCCCACCTTGTCGTGGATCCCCGTGTGTCCAGGCCCCGAGCATGGCAGAGCCCCCTACCTCCGCCTGGTCCAGGATGGGAGTTGCTCCTGCCCAGGCCCTGCCCTACCTGCGGCAAAGATGGCCAGAGAGAGGTAGGAGATGGCCTCCCTGGCCTGGGCCCCACCGTCCCCGCCTGGCCGTGCCCTCAGGATGGCCAATGCCCGTGCATGGCAGTGGCCCCAAAGCAGCTGCCGGTCCTCTTCATGGAAGACATCCAGGGTGGGCTGCAGGCAGGCTGTGTCCCCGGACTCGACAACCTTCTTCACCAGCTGCAGGGCAGGGAAGTTACTGCTATCCTCTCCTGCCCAGGGTCATGGCCACCCAGATTCCTCCCTGCACCCAAGATGCCTCCCAGGACTCAAGTCCCACCCAGGTGCCTGCCCCCACCGGCCTCTCTGCTTTCAGGGCCCCAGAATGCTCTCCATCCACATTGGACACTAGAAGGTTTTTGCAGCCTGGGACCATTTAGGGGTACCCTTCATCTCCCTGTAACACTGGGGGTCACGGAGGACAGGGACTGCACAGGGCAGGGCAGAATGGGTAGTGTGACCGCTGCCGGAGCTGGGCAGGGTGCCTGTGTAGGGGGCGGCCCCTTGGCTCAGGGCGTTCAAGTTACGCAGTGCCAGGAAAGGGAGCTTTCAAATTATAAAGTGATGAGAACCAGAGGTAGTACTTCAGAAGGCCCTGAGCAGAATCCCAGAACAGGGAGCAACCCGGAATGACATGAGCCACACACAGGGCTGCATGGCCCAGCCATGAGGGCTCGGTGCTGCCCCCTGCTGACCGGCGTGTGTGTGACACTGGCTCCAGGGCAGGGTTAGGGGAAATTCTCTTCTCCAGCCTGTGCTGCCCCAGCAGGGGGTCAGGAATTAAACCAGGCCAGAGGACAAGGAGGGAACCGACAGGTCCCATAGCCGCCAGTCCCAAAGTCTGAGACCTGCTCCCTAGAATGTAATCTTCTGTCTCGGGTTCAAATGGGAAGCTTCCAGACGACTGCAGTGAGGCTGAGTCTCTGCCTTTCACGGGAGCAGTGCTGTCTCGGACAGAGGCAGGATGCAGGCAAGGGCTGGGGGCCCCTCTTTTGGCCTCCTTGAGAGGGCAGGATCATGTCCAGGTAAACAGGGACTTATTGAGAAGCCCAGTTTACCTGGGAGACTTGGTGTGAAGTTGGCCTACAATGGACTCTTGGCCCTTTTTCTTCACAGCCAGAGCAAAAGCAAATATGGGGCATCTACTTGGAAGAAAGGCCTGGCAATCTACTTCCGAAAAAACCAGCCACTGAAAACCCTTACCAGCACAGTTCTACTCTGACACACGTGGGGTCGCCACGTGTCAGAACTGACTCATGGCAACTGTATTTTTATGGTTTACTGCGTGCAGAAAACCTGCCAGACCCTGGAGAACCTGCTCCAGCTAATTCCCACAGTAACCCAGCAAGTCCAGAGCACAGATGAAGAGACCAAGGGTCAGAGAGGTGAGAGACCTGCTGAGATGGCTGGTAGTGGCAGAGCTGGGGCTGGAATAGGCTCACCTGACTCCAAAGTCGGGCCGTGGGGCACAGAGCGAGGCGCCGGGGAGGCCTGTTGTGGCCCTGCCCTGCTGTTCGCTCCCCACCCTACCTATCCTCCTCACCTGGTTGGCATTGTAGAAGAAGCCCCTCCGCAGCTGCAGCAGGGCCAGCCGTGCCAGCACAGGGGTTGCTTGGGGCCTCCGGGATAGGGCCATCAGCAGTGCCTTGTGAGCATCGTCCAGGCGGCCCAGGCGGTACAGGGCATCAGCTGCCAGGAGGCGCGAGGCCTCGTCCTCTGTGTCCAGCTCCATCAGCAGCGTGGCCAGCTGGTACACGCCCTGGGCATCCCTGCATGAAGAGAGAGTGGCTGAGGGAGAGCCAGCCTCTGCCCCGCACCCTTCCACCTGCCCAGGTAGTCACAGGTAAATCCTGTCTTCTCGCACCCAGCCAGGGGCTGCTCCCTTCCTGCCAGACTGCAGAGACCCTCATGCTGTGCTGCCCCCAGAGCTCCACAGCTGTCCCCTGCCCCCACCCTCTCACTCCATCCACCGGCCTGCCCCTGGGGCAGGCATTTTACAGATGGTGGAATTGAGGCCAAGTACATGGTCAGCAGCAGCGCTGACCTTGAGTAGACCCTGACTCAGTTTCCTTTCCTGCAAAACAGAGATAACGATTGTGACCTGGCGACAAGAGTGCACACTGGCCCGCACTTGGAATGTTCCTCGCACCCACGTTAGGGGAGATATTAATCAACTCCCACTGCAAAAAGAAGCCAGACCCTCAAATGTGACAATTCCCAGAGAGAACGAATCTAAACAGCCCCAAATCGCATAAATGCACATTCCACCTCGAGGGCAAATCAATAAGCAACCGGAGAGGCAAAGGTAGTGTGTGTGTGTGTGTGTGTGTGTGTGTGTGTGTGTGTGTGTGTGTGTGTGGAGGGGTGGGGTGTTACATCAAACTCACCCCCTACAAGGCCCCCATCACAGTGCTTTTAACTTTGCTAAAACACATTCTACCACCTCCCTAGCATTCGGAGGAGTGCAGTTAAAACAGCCACCTGGTTCACCCTTAGTGGGCAAAACTCATTACTGTGGAGTCAATTCCGACTCATAGAGGCCCTAGAGGACAGGCTAGAACTGTCCTATAGGGTTTCCAAGGCTGTAATCTTTACAGAAGCAGACTGCCACATCTTTCTCCTGTGCAGTGGCTGGTGGGTTCTAATTGCTGGCCTTTCTGTTAGCAGCTGAGCACTTAACCACTGCACCACCAGGGCTCCCCAGGTAGACAAAGAGATTCCTAAATGAGTATCTGGGCTGGGAGGGCGTGGTGGGGTGGGGCAACCCCTGAAGTCAGGCCAGCCCCTTGCCCAAGGACCGTACACGTGGCCTCTCTCTCTGTGCAGATCTGCATCATAAGGGCAAAACACTGCAGATGAGGTTTTATCCTCATGATGAGGTTAGCGTTATGACAAAGAGCAGAAATCAGGAGCTGCCAAATGAATAATGGCACGTTCACAGGATGGGAAATTTGTGCTGTGCTAGAAATACTGGCCACAACAAGGGGAGTGCTCATGACCTACTGAGGGACAAAAGAAGGGTATAAGTGTGCAGGCTGGCACACACTTGGTTTTCTGAAATATACTTTATAGTACAGAGAGAAAAGTCTAGAAGCAAATGCTAATGGTGGGATAATGGGTAGGTTTTTATTTTATTTTTCCATTTTTATATGTTTCTGATTTTCTGTGAAAAGAAAGTCCACCATGCATTATGCTTTTTGGGACTGAGGGTCCTAGGATCTGGGCCGTAGCACTAAGTCTGCCACCACTGCGTTAGGGAAACCACGGAGCTGCTCTCTGCCTCAGTTTGTTATTTTTGTTAGGTGCCTTGGAGTTGGTCCCTGACTCACGGGACTCCATGCACAATGGAACTAAGCACTGCCTGGTCCTGCACCATCCCCATGATTGCTTTCGGATCAAGCTGTTGTGATCCAAAGGGTTTTCACAGGCTGACTTTCAGAAGTAGATTGCCAGGCCTTTCTTCCTAGTCTATCTTAGTCTGGAAGCTCCACCGAAACCTGTTCAGCATCACAGCAACACGCAAGCCTCCACTGACAGATGGGTGGTGGCTGCCCATGAGGTGCATTGGCCGGAATTGACGACAGGTTTCCTGCGTGAGAGGAGGCTAGAATTCCGCTACTGAATCACCACTGCCCGTGTCTTGCCTCAGTTTACTTACCTGTAAATCAGGAAGAAACACACCACTCGCCCTCCCTATGTCACAGGAGATCAGAATAACCCCACGGCGCGCCACGGGATCGAACTCTCACCCTTCCTGCGCGCCGGGGCTGTCCGTCTCTGCGGCCTTCTTCCGGCGGCCAGGCACGCCTGCGGGCGCGGAATCCCGCCTTCGCTGCAGCATTCGGCGGCCCTCCTCGCGCAGCACGATCAGCAGTAGCCCTCTGTGGTTCCAGGGCACGTAGGCCTTGGCGGCGAGCAACGCCTCCTCAGGCCACAGCTGGCAGGCGGTGACATAGTCCAGCGCGCCCAGGACGGCGCTGCCGTCCAGCACGCGCAGCAGCCCACGGCCGCACAGCGCGCGCACACAACCGACGGGGTGCGGAACGCCCTGCTCTACTACCATCTGGAAGTCCTCCCGGGCGCGCCGCGTGTCGCCGGCGTGCAGCGCGCAGAAGCCCCGCAGCGCCAGC